GAGCAAAGGGCACCGACATACTGGTTCATTCGCAAAAGGCACCGACGTACAGGTTCAAAGCAACAAGAGCGCCGACGTACAGGCCTAGTGGAAGCAAAGTTCAGGTGAACTTTTAAAGATCGACAAGCGTGGATCTTCAGTAATTTCCTTTGGAAAATTATCGCATCAAAAGAGGATGACTTCAAGAGAATATATCTTTGACAGCGTTCCCTAGCTTGCGGAGAGTTGTCACGAACAACATGAGGATTATTTCAAGCGAAATAATCTTCGATAATATTCCCTAGGATGTGGAATATTGTCAATGCGACTGAGGATTAATTCAAGAGAAATGATCTTCGATGATATTCCCTAAGATGTGGAATATTGTCAATGCGGCTGAGGATTATTTCAAGCGAAATAATCTTCGATGATATTCCCTAGGATGTGGAATATTATCAATGCGGTTGAGGATTATTTCAAGAGAAATAATCTTTGAGAATGTTCCCTAGGATGTGGAATATTATCATTGCGGAGAGGATAGTTTCAGGCAAAGCAATCTTCTAATTTGGAAGCAGTTACAGGCGTAGCGGTTTTCAAGCGGGATGGCATTCTCTAGCTTGTAGGAGGTCATCAAAACCATCGGTTACTTTCAGGAGACGTGTGCTCGGCGGTGCAAGATACGCGTTTCTTAACTCTTTTATTTGTTTAACTAACGCTAGTTTTGCAGGTATCGGCGTTACAAGAGTGATTTAGGAACGCAAAACGTTCTGAATCATTCTCCGTCCCTATCGATACTTTGACTTTTGTTTTCGAAACTCGCGTTTCTCCAAACTCAGTCAAAGTGGGGGCTTCTGTAGACACCCATTTGTGTCTCCCCAAAACCAAACCCAGTGATGAGTACCTTTCACGTCGAATCATAATCGAATGAAACGAAAGTGTGGAAAAGTCTAGTGTTGCGGAAAGTTTTTATTTTCTTTTCTCTTCTCTCTGTTTTTGAAAACTTTATTTTAAGAAAACAGCCAATCCAGTTTTGTTGGTCCATGATATGGGTCCAATAATGGTTTAGTTAGATGGGTCTTGCAAAGACCTTTCCAATGATATATTATAAGCCCAATTCCGATGAATATTGACGAAGTTATGGCCAATTTACTAAACTGGGCCCAGTTTGAGCTTTATGTGCGGCCCAATGATCTAAAGGAGGGCCTAATCTGATTTTTCATTCCTAATTCAATTAGCATTGATAATTTGACTTTGTTGACTTTTCAGAGTTTTAAACCAAATCAAATAGCATTTTCGAAGAAATTATATTATTTTATCCTCCAGCACGGTAAATTTATCGGATTTTCGAAAACGCGTCGAAATCAAGCTTGGCGTCCAACCCCAGGCCGTGGCGCCTGGAACCAGGGTTGGCGCCAGGCGCTAGCCAGGGTTGGCGCCAGCTCTGTTTCCTGAGCGTCATACTCTGTTTTGTGAAATTATCTTTTTTGGCTGATTTTCTCTATAAATATCGTATCAAAAACTCCATTTTCATTCACCAATTCTCCTTATTCACAAGTTTTAATTAGCATTCTTTAATTCATTCATCGCTTTCATTCATCTTTTCCAAAACTTGGTTTTTCTCATACAAAATTCCGCATTCACAAGATCAAGAAACACCTAGCCATATTCGAAGTTGCCTTCGCCCTAGACGTGAAAGAAAGAGGTACGAGGCTTCAAAGTAAGTAATTTAATTGATTTATTGATGTTATGATGTAGAAATCATGTTTACATTGTTATTATGATATTCCTAGTATCATGTCTAGGTTATTTTTAATATTAAATATGATTTCTATGATGTCTTTTATTCTCTTCCTAATATTTATTCATGTTAGTATCATGTTAGGGTTAAAGATTTGATTTTTATTGCTTAGTGACATGCTATGGTTTGTTATTAATCTTGTTAGTATCATGCCTAGGATCTTGTTATGTTTATTATACTTTAATATTAACATGAACATGATAATTATTATTATTGTTATTATTATGATTATGAATATTATTATTATTATTTTGATAACGATTATAATTATTGTTATGGTTATTTATTATGTTGCTTGATATGTTATTGTTATTGCTTGATCACCTTTATGCATGTTAAAGGGAATTGATACTTGTAATCGCGCTTAATAAGATAATTAAAAATCTTGTTAGGGTTAATGTGATTATAATTCAAGTGATCGCCAATAATAGTTTATTTGTGCATTAATATTCAACCAACATAGATAAACAGGTTTAGGGTTAATCCTATTGATTGCATGTTAGTCAGAAAGTGCACATGAATACGAGCAGAATAAAGTAGAGGCCTATTATTAGGGCAGGTTCAATCTCTTTTAGGTTGGATTTGTACCTTCATCCCCGAACCCTTATTTGGTTCATGACCTTATGGAGTTGACTATCTCTTGGATCGTTAAGGGGTGTAACCTTCACCTCGTGAACGGTTTACAAGTTCCTTTAAAAACTTGTTGGCGACTCTTTTTCTCTATCTTCTTCCCTTTTGGACGCCACCGTACTTTAGTGTATGATCACAGTGGGGTTCAAGCTAGTGGGATTTTAAAGGCTTGAAATTATTCCCTACAAAGAGTCTCTTGCTATCATTCCTTCTTCTGATTAGATGAAGAAAAATTTGTTTTCCATGGATCCCATTAAAAGCCTTGGTCCTGATGGAATTCAACCCCTTTTCTTTCAACATTTTTGGGTTGATATTGGTCCTTCAATTTCTGAGTTTATCTCCCAAGTCTTTTCAGATTCTTTTATTCCTTCTAATACCAATCACTCTTACATTTCTTTGATTCCAAAGAAGGATCACCCTATATCCATTTCTAAATTCAGGCCTATAGGTCTTTGTAATACCATCTATAAGCTTGTTACTAATATTATCTCTTCTAGGCTCAGATTTGTGCTTCATAAGGTTATCACCCCTTTTCAATCCAGTTTCATAAAAGATAGAAGTATGGGGGATAACATTATTTTGATCAAGGAGGTTGCTCACATGTTTTATAAGTGTAGAAAAGGGAAAAATCTGATGGCCTTAAAGCTTGATCTAGCTAAAGCCTATGACTGTTTGGAGTGGTCCTTTATTTCTGATACTCTTGCATGTTTCAATTTTCCTAAGTCCATTTCTAAGCTTATCATGCATTATATCACCTCTCCTCAAATTTCTGTTTTATGAAATGGTGAAATTACTCCAAGTTTTACACCTTCTAGAGGGATTAGGCAAGGGGATCCCCTCCCTTCTTACATTTTTGTCCTATGTATGGAAAGATTGTCCCTTCTTATTGAAGAAAGAGTTAGAAATGGAGATTGGAAGCCCCTTAAAATTTCAAAAAATTATAGCCTTTCTCATCTTTTCTATGATGATGATGTTTTCCTCTTTGGATCTCCTAATGTTCAGAATCTTTCTATCATGATGCAAACTATTGAAGAATTTGGTAGGTATTCTGGCCTTCATGTCAATTTTCTGAAATCTATTATTATCTTCCCTCCAAAAATGGAATATAATATTAGGCATCAATTGGTCCAACTTTGCAGGTTAAATCTAGTTTCTATTTTGGGAAATATTTAGGAATAAATATTAGCCCTAATAAGCTTAAGAAAGGGGATTATTGGGAATTAGTCACTAAGACTATGGATAAAATCAAAGGTTGGCAAGCAAAATTGTTAAATATGGCAGGGAGATGTACCCTTATTAAATATGTTTTAAGCTCCTATCCTGTTCATGCAATGCAACACAACCTTTTGCCTATCTCTATTCTTCAAAATATTGAAAAACATTGCAAAAAATTCTTATGGAATAGGACAGATTCTGTTGGGTATACTCCTAGAACCAAATGGAACAATGTCACCATTCCTCTTTCTTTGGGAGGCCTTGGTATGAGGTCTTTAAGGGATTGGAATATCTCTTTTATGGCTAAGTTAGGTTGGACTTTTTTGACAAACCCAAATAAACTCTGGGTTAGAATTCTGAAAGATAAATATGCTAGAAGGACAAATCTTTAAGATTACATCCCCAATTCTTCTCAGTCTTCTATGTGGAGGGATATTTTGAAGGGTAGGGAGTTGCTTTTCAAGGGTATTATCAATAGGATTGGCAATGGAGAGGATACTTCTCTTTGGTATCATCATTGGGTTGGAGATTAGCCTCTCTATAAGATAATTCAGAGAGACATTCCTCAATCAAAATGTCATTGGAGAGTTTCTGATATTATTAGAGATGGAAAGTGGTATATTGATAGCATCAAACATTTGTTGCCTGAGAACATTTGTAATTTGATTTTGGCTACTCCTTTCTCTATTGTTGATCCCTCTGATTCTCCTGATCATCTCAGATGGAAGCATCATACCTCTGGAGTCTTCACCATAAAATCCACTTATTTTCTCTCTAAAAACCCCACTCCTTATGTTGTTCCTTTCTCTTTCAGTTGGAAGACCTTTTGGAAGCTTAAACTTCCTTTCAAATACAAAATGTTTATGTGGAATTGCATTCATTCCATTATCCCTTAAGCTTCCCTCCTATCTTCCAAATTCCCAGGTTTTGACCCTATTTGCACAAGGTGTTTGTTGTCCTCTGAGTCTTTCATTCATTTATTTAGAGATTGCTTTTCTTCTAGTATTCTCTGGAAAATGATACTTCACAAACTTAAGCCCCCTCCGTCCTTTAATTTCTCCATTTTCATGAATTCAGATTGGAATGATTGGCTTTTTTTTAATCTTCTCAAACTCCCAAATGGAAGTCAATTTTCATTATGGGACTATGGCATATTTGGAGATTAAGAAATGGTTTTATTTTTAAAGATGAGGTCTATAATTGTAATTCTGTTTTTAACAGATTCATTATAGATTATCAAATCACCTCTTTTGTTCTACAGGGGACTATGGGATGTGAGAGAAAGAACTCTGATGGTGCAGGACCATCAATAGTCAGACCTCCTTGCTATAAGCCACCACAAGCTGGATGGATGAAACTTAACACTGATGGAGCATGAATGTCTTCTGAGAAAGGTGGTGGAGGAGGGGTTTTTAGGAATGTTCAGGGTAAATGGTATTTTGGTTATTCAAGCAAGTACAATGCACCTAGTGCTTTGGGTGCTGAGCTGTATGCTCTAAGGGAAGGTCTTAACTTTGCACATGCTATGCCCTTGAAGTATTTGGAAGTGGATACTGATGCTCAAGAAATAAAAAGCTTGCTTAACAGAGAAGGGGATAATATGAATCATGAGTTATCTGGTCTCATCATTGATGTAGCAAGAGCCCTGAGCAACAAGAATATGGTCATTGTGTTTAGCATTATCCCTAGGGAGCTTAATTCTGTAGCTCACTATTTGGCTAAATATGCTATGATAATGGGTTTGGGCCATACCCCTCATTATGCTTGCCTAACCAATGCAGTTGCTGCTTTTAAAGAGGATATGAGAGCTCTGTATGCTGCTCCCATTGATTAGTTCCTTACGTTTCTTTGGTTTAAATTCTGCTTTGTCTGTAAACAATATTTTACTTTCAGTTCTAAGATACTATGGTTACTTTTGGGATCATAGAGCTCATTTTGCAATCAGCATCTCTATGATTGTTCTGATGTAATTATTAGGGCTATGCCCAAGTAATATATTTGCTTCCTTTTGTGTTAAAAAAAAATTGATTTTCAAAGACAATTTTGAAACATATAATTCTCTCTAGCGGTGATGATAGTCATGATTTTTTATTTTTGTTTTTGTTTGGAATTTTTCATTACTATTAGGAGAGTGTATCTAGTTTTTTGCTAGGGTTTTCTATCTAGGTTTCTCCTTGGGAGGGTGTAAAGAAGGCGGAAACAAATGCTAATTGAAATAATAATAATTAAAGATATTAGTCATTGAAATAATGCATTGACAAACATAAAATGTTAAACAGAGGAAGTATAATACAGTGTGTGATAACAGACGAGATAATGGTAGTAGAAGAGCTAACATATGTCTGTAAAACATTTTTTGACCTATATCACCTAATTGTTTGTGTTATTTTTCTTTTAAATCCTTTTCTTTTTGCATATTTTGCTCACATTTAGTATTTGTGTGTAAGAAAATGCATAAATTAGTATGTGATATATATATATATATATATATACTATACTATACTATACTTAAATATGGAAAAAATCTTCTTTCACTAATCATCTAAACATGATAGCAAATATCTTCTATTCTTCTTACTTGATATTTTTCAAGTGTTCTATTTTAATATCTCCTTTCATCTTCTATACTCGTAACATTTGTGATAGCACCAATGTTGATGGCTAGTGGTTTTGTCTTAATTTATATCTTTTTGTAAGTTCAATGATATCATATAGAAAAGCGTTTCTTGATGTTAATCATGATTTTGTTTTGTTAAATTATGAAAATGTCGTTTCTTGCATTGACCAATCACCTAAAGAGGAACACCGATGGGTAGCAATTTCAAAACTGAATAATTCTCCCTACCATGATGGAATCATCTAATCTGGAGGAATATGTATAAAATATCTTACTCGATATATTATGGAATACACAAATTATAGTATTTATTTAATAAAAAGATTGATTAATTAATAACAAATCATATGATGTATACAAAGAAATTTAACAAATAATGCATAACAGTTGAATAAAATAAAACATCCTTTAAACGAAGCTACTATTGTTGTTGTCGTATATCTGATTATATTATCGTGTTCTTCATTGAGAGAAATGACCGGTCTCTTAGGGCTTGTTCATATTTACATATTTTCAGTTCAGTTCAGTTCAGCTCCAATCAGTTCAGTTCAGTTCAGTTTAGTTCAGTTCAGCTCTAATCAGTTTAGTTCAGTTCAGTTCAGTTTAGTTCAGTTCAGTTTTATGCATTTTAATTTTTTAGTTTAGTTCAGTTCAGCTCCAATCAGTTCAGTTCAGTTTAGTTCAGTTCAGTAAATATGAACAAGCCCTTAGATAATTCATTTTTCACAAACAAATATATTCGGTTACTCATTCATCGATCTCTCTCATTGCCTAAGGATAAATACATCGTACACACAAAGACTAATACAATAGTGAAATGAATCAATAATTCAAATTTTAATTCGCTAAAAAGGATAACACTATTCCAGCTGAGCTCCGGTAACTCGAGTCTCAAGATCCGTAAAGGTTAATTGGCCAATTAAGTACCTGCACTGTCAACGCAAATTATCAAATCCGAGGGATATTTCGGGGATAATCGCTCCGATGCTAAATTTAGCAATTAATGAGAAGAGTAAGAGAAGAGATGAGAAAGTGTTTTAGAGAGAGAGAAAGTTAAAGAGATAAAAAAAATCGTACCTTAATAATATATTATGCTTGGGTATATATAGGAAAATAACCAAGCTGTTGCCACCTAGCGACATAGATGACAAATAGACTTCGTAGGTACCTGGTGCCTACATGGTCGAAAGCAGCTCTCCACGTGGTCGTAATAATGACCGTTAGGGAGAGTAAGCCGATAACGACAATAGTAGAGAAATAACAGCGTAACGTTGGGCCTGTTCATATTTACTTAATGTTAGTTGAGTTCAGTTCAGCTACAATCAGTTCAGTTTAGTTCAGTTCAATTCAGTTCAGTTCAGTTCAGCTCCTAATTTCCTTCTCTCAAAAAATATTTAGTTCAGCTTAGTCAGTTCAGTTAAGTTCAGTTCAGTTCAGTTCAGCTCCAATCAGTTCAGTTCAGTTCAGTTCAACTCCAATCAGTTCAATTTAGCTCAGTTCAGCAAATGTGAACAGACCCATAGTTTATGATCGAAATCTTAATATTGTCTATTCCGTACAAATACACTCCATATATTACTGAAGGATTCGCCAAATGTATAAATTCCTGGATCCGCAAGTGTCCGTTATCCTCACAGATTTATTGAAACATTAACTGATAAGATTATAATAGCCCTTTATTTTTAGTAGTGATGCAACATTACTCAAATACAGCTACAACCATCTTTCATCTCTCAATATTTATAATTTAATTGGTCAATTGTAGAGTACTTTTCATGCATTTTAATTTCGTCATATAAGTTGATCCTAATTAGGTTTAAACATCCAAATCAGTCCACAAAACATGCGGTCCTATTGAAAAACTTTTTACCAAAATAATTAAAGCTATCTACTACAACTCACTAATCACCAGTCACCCCATTATAATTTGTCAGGTACTTTAATTTAGGATTTGTATGATGATAGAATGATACTTTGTTCATATTTGATATCTTGGTTTGTTTTGTTATGCATCCCTCTGTAATCAATATCTTATATTCTTATTATCTTGTACGGAGTATAACTTAAGGGATGTATCCACGTTGTCGTGCTATTGAAAACAAAAAAAATACTCCCTTTATTTTGTAATAATTGCAACATATACTTTCTTTAATTCTTTTTATACATGTTTCGTAATAACTAGTCTTTTGGCCCGTGTCATGCACGGATTATGTATATGAAAATTAAAAAAAAAATATGGTTAGCAATTTTTGTCCCTTAGAAAAATCAATGAATGTTTTTAAATAATATTGTAATTTTTGCATGAGTGATTGATTATATCAATCAATTCGATAGAAGTTAAGAAAGAGGGGAAGAAAAGAACTTGTATGTGAATTTAATAGAGAAATAATAATAAATTGATGAAGAATGTTAAAGGGATTTAAATGATAGAGATGAGTGGGAATGATAGAGTGTTAAGATCACAAAATAAATTAAAAAAAGTTCTCTCATGAAACAATTATAATAAAATAAATTCTAATGGTGAAAGAGAGGAGGTCATGTAGTGTATATAGTTTGTGTTTTCATATAATAGGTACATCGGTATAGAGGAAGCAGATTAATTAATTTAATTCAAGGTCTCTATTATTCAATACAAAGCAGTTGTTAGTTATGTACTATTTGATTGAAAATTTAATTTATATTAGGAGATACGTATATTATGGCTAAGATGATATTAAATTTATATGCCTCTCCTCTCCTCTTCTCTCCTCCTCCCTTCTAGGGTTTCTCCAAAATCTTGGCCATTTAGGCCATTTCCGACCCTTTTCCCTTAATTTTATTTAGTTTTGCAATTTAGATTTCAATAAATCTACACAAGCAATGTAGATATATAGTTGTCCGTCTCCCTATGGTGGAGTCGTTAGTTTTTCTTAGTTTAGTTGTTTGTTTATGTTTAGGGTTTGATTGTGTGTTAGGGTTTATCAAAAAAGTAATCATCTTTTCTCCTATTGTCAGTTTTGTGGTAAAGATTTGTTCGGGATCGCAACATTTATCAAATTTTCAAATGCGTTCAGGCGAATCAGATGAGAATCATCCTTACGGCTACAACGAATCGTTAGACTGTCTCTCCGAAAAGGCTGTATATTCCAGCGATGTGTGCGAGAGAGGTACCACAGTGCAAGATCTTTTCAACGATCGTAGCTCTGATGAAGGAAACCCTAATTTGATTCAATTTTATGTATTTGTCAATTTAGATTTCATTTGTAGATGCCGGATGGCTTTTTATTAATGAATTGATTTGTTTCAAAAAAATAAATATTAAATTTTATATTCTTTCCATTTTCAAAAAATGCAAGATGCATTGACTTAATATATATTGAATATTGTAGAATGGTCATTTTATCTTTTACTAACTTCAATTTACCAAAATCAATTTTGATTTGGTAAATATATCGTAAATCTTGTATAATCAATGTTTAAATAGTAGATGTCATCTAAAATGAAAATAAAAAGGGAAAGCAAAAATCTAAATACTGATTTTGAAGGGGAAAAGCAGCACTAGAAAGTGGCATGTGTCATTTCCGGTGTATGCTATAGTAATAAGTTATTGATTGCAACACTTTTTATTTGGTAAAGATTTATTAATTTGTATAATTTTATTGGATGTTTCTCCTACTTTTTTTTTTTTTTTTTTTTTTTTGCGAATTAACATCTTACCCTGGTTTTCGTCCTTTGACTTGGTTTTTAGGTATTGACTTGCACGTGAGAAGCACGCGTTCCGGTCAGCTCCCCCTTTTCTTCCCTCCCCCCTCTCCCCACAATTTACCCTCCAATTCAACTTTCTCTCTCCTACCTTGTTCTCCAACAAAGCACTAATTACTCACCATTGACAAAGGAAACTCCATTTTTAAGCGTGAATTGTTGCAATTAACGTAATTTTGAGCAAGGTAAGTTGTTGTGAAAACTGGAATTTCTTGTATATTTTGTTGGGCATCGAATTTTCATAAATTAGGGCTTGTAATTGAAAATTAGGGTTCTTCGTTTTTGCCCACCAATGATTTAATTAGGAGTAATTTCGAGGGGCCAATGTGCACCAATGTAATGGTCTTTGATTTTTTTTTTTTTTTGTTTTGTATGTGCTTGCTCTATTGGGCTTCAATGGAGGAAGGGTATGAGGAGGTGGGGTGGGGTATTTAGGTGGATGGTGATGAATTAACGAGGGTGGAATTTTCATGAAA